CGTCATGTAAATATCTGATATGCAGGATGGTCTTAGGCGACCCCTGTGAAAGGGTCGTTGGACCGCCAAAGGGATCGCGACCCACAGGTTGAGAACCGCTGGGAGGAGTTCGGAGGAAGAGATGAACGGCCCTAAATTTGGGGGGAAATCACCAAAGACTACAAGGATAAAATGGGTGCTGTCATTGGGATGGAGAGCTATTTGCGAAAAGTCTGGAGAAAAAGGACCACTGAAGGCCATACTGAGCCAGGAAAAGGTCAACCGGCGAGGGGTGGGGAAAATGGAAGGGGGTGGGGCGGGGAAAGATAGATGGAGGTGTGGCCATTGAATACGGGATGGGGAGAAGAGGTCACCCAGGGAGGGGGTCTGCTGGAAGGTGTTGGGGTTTCAAGAGAAGAGGTCAACGTTTCCGGGACAGCGGGTCTAAAAGAATGGGAGGAAGAAGAGCGCAGGGAAGGGATGTAAGTCAGAGCATGAGTTTCCGCGAGACCGAAGTCAGTCGCCTGACGGCGGTGCCGCACCTCACGGACAGGGCCGCGCCGCTGGTGGCGGAGATGGAGTCCTCCTCTCGGTGTTGCGCCATGGACCGTGTTTCTCAAAGCCAGGCTCGGGGCAGCAAACGCTGGACCCCGGCGCTGGTCTGCAACGGTTGCCCCGCGGCTCCTGGCTGCCCCGCCGGCGCAGCCTCCGCTGTTTGCATCGTCGCCAGGAGACCGTAACCCCTGCGCCCATTGGCTCTGCCCCTTCGGCCTTCTCCTGCTAGAGCCGATCGCATTGGTGAAAGCTCTGCAGTGTATCAGCCAGTAGGCGGACGGCAAGCTGAGCGAGGGGCGGGACTCCCGGAGTGAGTGCCGGAGTGGCCCCACCCAGCCAGGACAAATAACTACAATATTAATAAATATCAATAGCAGAAATTAATATTGAGTGCTGGCCGAGCCAGGCGGTCCGAGCTCCATGCAGGCATTATTGCATTTAATCCTCAAGTCCCCCATCATCCCCATTTTACAGATAAGGAAAGTGAGGATAAGAAAAGTAACTTGCCTGAGGCTACAAAACGGAGTGGGTTTTAAAGCAAGGTCTAGTCTAAATCTAGAGCTCCCAGCCTTTCATTGCTATGTTACACCTTCAGATGTACCCTCCGCTACTTAAAATTGGCAGAGAGCTTCTGAAAACAATCTGATCAAAAGGTCTGCAACTTGTCCTTGATGCTTCCCTTCCCTTTCAGATCCCTCCAAGCCAGCGGTTCTCAACCTGTGGGTCGCGACCCCTTTGGGGGGGTCGAACGACCCTTTCACAGGGTCGCCTAAGACCATCGGAAAACACATATATAATTACATATTGTTTTTTGTGATTAATCACTATGCTTTAATTATGTTCAATTTGTAACAATGAAATTGGGGGTCACCACAACATGAGGAACTGTATTAAAGGGTCGCGGCATTAGGAAGGTTGAGAACCACTGCCCCAAGCCGTCTTTCCGGTTCTTTCTCCTCCACCCCCCCCCCCTCCAGTCTTCTCCTTTACCCTACCCCATCCTTCTTTAAGTCCATCCCTTCCTGTCTTGCCACCATCTCTCCAACATTTCATTCATATAGATGCTTAGCAGATGTGCAATTTGCATTCACCAGTGAAATTACCTCCTCTATGCTGTTTTACCACATTTTCATATCTTGAACATGTTTCTGCATCAGTATATATAGATCTACTTCATCCCTTTTAACAGTAGTTAGGGTTTTTGTTGTTCTTTTAGAAATCTGTTCCATAAATCACTCCCCCCCACCCCTTCATATAGTATATAGTAAAAACTTAGATTCTACAGGAAGGTTTTCAAATGACATTTTTTCTCACCTCATTCTTTCCTACCTGAATACCATTGTCTTGAGGCCCCTTGCAGCTTAAGAAATGTAATGGAATTAATATCAGGGAAACACTCCCCCATGCCATGCCCCCTCCTACCTTTTTCTTTCTCTTTCTTCCCCCAGAGGTAAGAACTTTTCTGAATTCTGTTTATTGCTTCTTGCTTTTTAACTCTACCACATACCATATGTATGTGCCATAACCAATATGCTGTTTCATTTTGCATGTTTTTAAAGTTAATATATGTAGTCATATATATTGTTTTTATTACTCAATCTTATGTTTTGGAGATACATTTATTTTGATAGCTGTAGCTATAGTTTATTAGTTTTCATTGCTGGATAGTTGTTCATATGAATACACCACAATTTATTTATCCGTCCTACTCTCAATGCACTTTTAATATTCACCTATATATTTTTTGCTATTCAAGTTCCTTTCTTTATGGACTATTTATTCCTGTATAGCTTCTTATTGTGAGGATTATAATAGTTTTTTTTTTCCATTTGATCTCACTCTGGGCCCCATAATACTTTCACTCAATCATTCAGCCAGTATCTTCCCATGGAATCTCTTTTATGAAAGCTATTTCTCCCTACTATGGACTGTCATGGAATGTTAATTTTTAAAGTAACGTTTGTATTCACAAGATAAGTGCCCCTAATTTTTAAAAAGATATTTTAAATATAATTAATTAAAATAACAATGAAACACTTCATGTGACTTTCAATATTCCTAACTTACTCTATAAAATACTTTATACATATAAATTTATTATATACTAGAGGCCCGATGCACGAAATTCGTGCAAGAGGCTTGGCCCTCACAGCCCCAGCTTCATCTGGAAGGTCTTCTGGAAGGTCATCTGGAAGGTCGTCTGGACAGCCATTTTACTGTTCGGCTGTTCGGTCGATTTGTATATTATGCTTTTATTATTATAGATTAAAGAGTATAAAATTATCCAAGTAACATTCCTGAAAAGTCAAAGAATGTTGTATTAAGTGGGTGTATATTGTCAGGAAAGACAGATAGTACTTAGAAGGTAGAAAACTATTTCTTATCACTAGGACCTCTAACTCTTTTTAAAAAAATATATTTTTATTGATTTCAGAGAGGAAGGGAGAGGGAGAGAGAGATAGAAACATCAATGATGACAGAATCATTAATCAGCTGCCTCCTGCACACCTCCTGGATGCCCCCTACTGGGGATCAAGCTTACAACCTGGGCATGTGCCCTGACCAGAAATCAAACTGTGACCTCCTGGTTCATAGGCCCATGTTCATCCACTGAGCCACACTGGCCAGCATGACCTTTAACTCTTAATCTTTAACCAGCAGAATCAGTTGAGATTAGCCCACTCAGGTTAATTATTGACCATTATAGCTGCAAAAAATGTGAAATACTATGTTTTTCCCTGTGGCTAACATCCATGTGTATCCAGATGTTCACATATCATGCACATGACCACCAAGGGCTTGGAGATGATTCTCTATAATGCAGAGTGGTGCTAACAGTACAGTTGTTTCCTGGGATGTATATTTTCTTTTCAATTTATTTCTTTGAGGAATTAACTTTTTACTTTATTGATGAATTGGATGTTTCAAACCATTAAAATAAAACATTACACTGTTCATACTAATTAGGGGACAGACCATGCCAAGTAAAAGTTCTCAAGATATATACCTTGACCTGAAATTTTTAGTTTGGCCAATCAGAGGTGTTGCCTGGCCAAGTTTAAATTTACAGGGTTAATTTGCACGATGCATCAGTATGCTAAGAGACCTTCTAAAAAGTTACTTTTCTGAGAAAAAGTTAAGCCAGATCCATGCTTTAGCAAAAATGTGATCAACTTGTTTTCACTGAGTATCAGCAATAATAACAAGCATTTATTTATTTAACACTTATTCTGTGCCAAGAACTGCTTACAGTGCTTTCTAATATCCACTAATTTAATCATTCTTCAACTTCTACAAAGGAGCTATTAGGGTTTTGCCACGTTATTTTACAGGTGAGGGAAGTGAAACACAGAGGGACGGCTCATATCTCAAAAAACTCGTTAGTTGGGACACTCGTAAGTCAAGGCCCCACTGTAAATAGCACAGGAGTCACCAGCTCTCAAATCTAGGCAGACAAGTCAGACATTGACTACCCTTTTCCATGTGTCCTCGACTGGAATCCCTTTTTTGAGCAGACCAGTGGGACTAAATTTACTCTGCCTACCTGCATGACTCCAAGCCCTACTAGAGCTTCAAAATCCAAATATTTAATAGATTTTTTGAAAACAGCACCATCGGAGGTCACTAAGATCTAGATTTGGACTGTTTCTTTTGGGTTAAAATTAAAAGGATGTGTCCTGCCCTAACTGGTTTGGCTCAGTGGATAGAGCCTGTGGACTGAAGGGTCCCAGGTTCGATTCCGGTCAAGGGCATGTACCTTGGTTGCGGGCACATCCCCAGCAGGGAGTGTACAGGAGGCAGCTAAATTGATGTTTCTCACTCATCAATGTTTCTAACTCTCTATCCCTCTCCCTTTCTCTCTGTAAAAAAAATCAATAAAATATATTTTTAAAATAATAAAAAATAATAAAAGGATGTGTCCTGTAGTTACAGGCGGGACAGGGGCCATCCCAGGAGTCGTAGGAAGCTGGTGCTGACAGGAAAAGGCAAAGGCTGTCCAGGTGGCTGGGCGACTTGTCACTGTGCCATGGACGGGAACCTTTGGTGAGCGAGCGCTGGGCCCGGGCCACAGGCCCTGAAGCTGGGGAAGCCTTGGAGCAGAGGGGGAGCAATGACCAGGTCCGTGCCATGGAATATGGGAGGTCAGGTGTGGACCCGGGTGGAGGGCAGACCACAGACCACCTTCGTTCAGGGTCAGGGAATGACTCTGAGGGTGTGTGTGTGTGTGTGTGTGTGTGTGTGTGTGTGTGTGTGTGTCTCAACATGTGTCTCAACATGGGCGCATCCCTTCCCTAGGCCAACACAGTACAGTTAGGCACAACCTCGGGGTGCAGGGTTTTAAGCACGATCCCCACAAAACCCGGAAGGCCGGCCCTGGGTGGGGCGCCGTGGGTGGGCGTCTGGGCGGCGAGTCCCCTGCAGAGGGTGGGAAAGAGCCCAGCGCGCTCGCTGCGCCCGGCTTCGCTCCAGGCGCCCCGGAAACGCCGCGCCGGCGGAGCTGGCAGCCCGCCCCCAGTTCGCACTTAGCGGAGAGGGGAAGGGAGAAAAGGAGGAGGGAGCGGCCTCTACTTCCTGAATCGCCTGCAGATCCAAGTCGCGAGCTCAGCCTACGCTGCGCCACGATGTCCGGAGGGTCAGCCAAGAGCCTGGCGAAGGGTGAGGCCTGGCCGCCGCGAGAGGCGGTGATCTTGGCGACCCCCGATGCGGGTCCCGGTGCGGCTGATCCGGAGCCGAACCCTCCCGGAGGGTCTCCTTCAGGAGGGGATGGGTCGGGCTCCAGGGGCGGCGGGGGGCTGGGGGTCCCGGCTGCTCTCCGGGCCGTAACTGCGTTCGCTTGTCCCCGGCAGGAAGCGCGCCCCCAGGGCCGGTCCCCGAGGGCCTGATCCGCGTCTATAGCATGAGGTTCTGCCCGTTCGCCCTGCGGACGCGCCTTGTCCTGAAGGCCAAGGGAATCAGGTGAGAACCCGGCGAAGGCCGCTCCCGAGCGGTGCGGGAGTGGGGCGAAGGGGGGGGGGGGGCGGGAATCTCGGACGGGGCCCCTGGGGCGTCCTTTACTGCAAATTAAATTAGAATTCTCAGCCTTTTGGGGAGGGCATGGCAAGTTATGGGCCTTCTCCCTGGGGCGGCGGAAATGCCATAGATCCCGCTGTCTAGAACACTCCATAGATGAACCTAACTGCTTTATGGATTAGAAAGGTGGGCTCCTGCTAAGGGAGTGACAGGCAGCGGCTCTTCTAGCTCTGGTAGATCCCCGATTCCTGGTCAGTTGCCTTGCACTTTCACCAGACTTCTCCATTCATGTCCAGTTTATCTGATATTGTTGGCTGTTATTCTGAGTGTATCGTTCCTTACTAAATAGTACAGAGTTCAGACCTGCACTCTCCTGGCAGGGTGCACAGTTAACTGTGCTGTACCTATTCCTGTAGGCTGGGTCTTTTGCGAAGCCTCATTGGAACTGGCCTGGTTCCCGGCATAGGAGTTAGCCTCAGGAATTATGAAGTGTCATTTGACTTCTCTCTGGCAACACCAAAGATCCATTGGAACTACCCCCTTCAATGACCTTTGGAATCTGTGAAACAGACATTAGGTACCTATGATGTGGAAGTTTAAAACGTAGCCCGTAGCCCCCATTCTTAAGAAATTTTCCATGTATGTGCTTAAGATTTATTAATGAATTTTAGTCTTCTAGGAGGGAGGATTAGGCAGCAATTCCTTTCCCTAAAAGAAATATAAGATGCATTCTAAAGAAAAAAAAACCACACCAAATTATTTATGGATTAGCCCTCACTTCACTAAGATTGGCATCTTATTTGGATGAAATTGATTCTGAACACATAGCCAAATATTCAACATTTAGTAACATTTATCCAAAACACTGTATTTTATCAAAATACTATAATATTTTCTGTATTAATCAGAATTCTTTTATTGCAAGTAAGAGAACTCTGATCCAAATTGGACTGAAAAAAGGCATATATCATACTCATATAATTGAAAAGTCCAAGAGCAAGATGCAGCTGAATTCGGGGCACCAAATCCTGAGTTATGTGCCCTTCTGTAAATCCAGGTTGAAAACAACCCTACCTTACTTACTGGGCATTTTCCAAAGGAAAATTAAAATGATTTTAGCATAATAGTGTGTGTATGAGGGGGTGAAGAGTGGTGACAGCTGCCGGATACTGCAAACAACAGAGGTCTGCTACATTCATGGGTCAGTTTTGAGTCCCAGGAGATTCATCAGAGAGGTACTAGATTTTTACCACATGGTATAACCTAACAAAGCATGGTTTTCTTTAAAAGGTGCACCTTCCAACTTGTGACTTGTTGACTCATGATGCCAGGTTACCACCTAATCCGTGTGTTCTGAGAACCTACTTTATTACAAAAGCCTAGGATCTACCTTTTGTTTTTATACTATACAATTTCAGAAATGTTGATAATTCCTTGGCAAAGGGCCTTATTTTTCTTGCAGTAGCTCATATCTGAGTGACCAATGTTATCTCAGCACATGAACCTTTTAATACACACTGACGTGTTTCATCTGGATAGTCCTTTGTTTCCAGGGGTGATTACATATTTAAACCCTTAAACTAAATGCTGTTCTACAAAGGTGTTCGTGTAGCCCTAGTTGGTTTGGCTCAGAGGATAGAGCATCAGCCCAAGGACTGAAGGGTCCCAGGTTCAATGCTGGTCAAGGGTACATACCTCGGTTGCAAGCTTGACCCAGGCCCTGATTGGGGCATGTGCAGGGGACAATCAATCAATGTGTCTCTCTCACACTGATCTTTCTCTCTGTGTCTCTCCACCTCCCTTCAACTCTCTCTAAAAAAAAAAAAATCAATGGAAAAATATCCTTGGGTGAGGATTAACAACAAAAAGATGTTGGTGTATGTATATATAAATATGAACAAGACATATAAGATCCTTGCTTTCATGGAGCTTACATTCTAGATAATTGACATAATGGGTAAATAAGTGACCAAAGTAATTTCAGATACATATCAGTTTAATAAATAAAGTAAAACAAGATGATCATGGAATGGAGTTTCTCAGCAGCTTCAGAATGGGTGGTCAGGGAGGGCTCTCTGCACATTTGGTGTTTGACCTGGGAAGACAGGCAGAGAAGGCAGAGGACCAGTAAGTGCAAATGCTCTGAGATGGGAACATGTTTGGCAAATTCAAGGAATATAAGAAAGGCCGATGGGGCCAGATCAAAATGACCAAAGGAAAGTCGTAGGAAACCGGTGTGACAAGCAAGCAGGGACCAGATCAAATGTGCCCTACCTGTCATAGAAAGTATTTAGGGTTTGTCCTCTTTGTAATGAGTAGCAGTCGGAAGGTTGTAAGCGGGAGAGTGTCCTGATCTAATTTTGTCAAAGCTCCACGTGGCCATGTGTGCAGATGGAGTGTAGGGAGGCCACATGGAAGCTTAGAGGCTGGTGGGGGACTGTTGTAGAGGTCCAGGTGGCAGATGATGTTTTGGACGACGTAGCCGTGATAAAGCTGAGAAGTGAATAAAGTCAATCTGATTTGGAGGTTTAGCTGAGCATGTGACTTGAGGAAGGGGGGCAAGGGGAAAGGAATCAAGGCTGAGTGGACTCCTAAATTTGGGGTCTGATCAGCTAAGTGGATGGTAGGGCCAGTGAGGATTTTCAGAAGTACAAAAACGTTTCATCCCCTTCATTGTCTTCTATGTGTCTTTCAGGCACGAAGTCGTCAACATCAACCTGAAAAATAAACCTGAGTGGTTCTTTAAGAAGAATCCCGCTGGTCTGGTGCCAGTTCTGGAAAACAGCCGGGGTCAACTGATCTACGAATCTGCCATCACTTGTGAGTACCTGGATGAAGCATATCCAGAGAAGAAGCTGTTGCCAGCTGACCCCTATGAGAAAGCGTGCCAAAAGATGGTCTTTGAGTTATTTTCTAAGGTGTGTATATAAGAAATTTCAGTTCCTGTTTGAAAACCCTTTGTTTTTTTAAGCTACATCAGTGGTCATGTATGGTTCAGTAATTTTGGAAAGGAAAACAAAACAGGATTATACTCTTTGCAAGCCCTTTCTTGATCGGTTCCTGTTTACCTCTACAAAGTTATCCCTCTGCCGACACACTATATTCCGGCCATACTGAATGTTTCAGTTTCCCAAAATTACCACCTTATCAACTCTTGATGGAAGACCCTTCTTCCTTCTCACTTTGCCTGGTTTTCTCCAAATCCTCTTTCATGTATCTGCTCAGATATCGCTGCCTTCCAGAAGCTTGTCCAGCCCAGCTCTGTGTTCCCACAAGTACTAACATTGCCCTGTTGGTGGCTGCCTGACTTAAGCCTGTGAGTTGTACCAGGGTGTGAGCTCCTTGAGGGTGAGGGCAGTGTTCCCATTACTGTTGACTCACTGCCTAGGTTTGTGACCAGCTCTGCCCCTTCCAAGTTGTTTAACTTGCTAGGTTACTTATTGCTTTACCTCTGTGTCTCAGGTCATTATTTGTTCAATGAGTATAATTATGTCTTCCTTATAGATAAAATCAGTTAACCTAAAACATGGAGAGCAGAGTCCGACACATGGTAAATCTCAGTGTTAGTTCTTGTTCTAGCCAGTGTCTAGCAGTGAGCTTGTGCTCTGTGCTGGCAATAGCTCTCAGCTGACTGAGTAAATGGCATTCCTGTAGAAGAACTGTATGTTATCAGTGTTGTAGATTGGTTCAAGCAGTTAATATTCACAAAGACACGACCAATAGTAGACAACAAGAATAGCAACGTCAGGTTATGTCTCTATAATTCTGTTTCCATGTTATGTCTCTATAATTCTGTTTCCATGTCAATGTATATCAGCATGCACAGAAATATCTTCTCTAGAGGGACTTATAGGGAGGACATATTGTTTAAGGAGACAGTGCAAAGGGCAGCCGATGGGGATGGGAGAGGGGAGAGGGAAATGTCTGGCTTAGCAGGATGAGGGGGAAAGAATAGTAGAGATAGAGATGGCTGCTGTCAAAGATGATGGACAGGGCATAGGGCATTTGCAAGGAAGATGTTGCAGAATTTAAAAAAGAAAAACAGTAACAAGAGAACCATCATACTGTTTAGAAAGAAAATGAGCTAAAAGCTGGAGATGCCCACTATTACTTTCCTACTCACATTCCGGAAAGAGGTGATCCAAGGGACCATATGACCCCACCATCCTGTCCACAGCTCGGCAGACCAGAAATGGCCCCATCTGCACCCCCAGCCCAATCATTTTCTCTCCTAGAAACTTGGAACTGAGACAGACTAAGACAGTCAAAGTGGGGAAGCTTAGGATGGAGATATATATATATATATATATATATATATATATGTAGAGAGAGAGAGAGAGAGAGAGAGACTTGACAAACCAAAGCCACATAAAAAATACATTTTTGGGGAAGTGGAAATTAAAAACACTGCAGAGGGAACTGTATGTGGAAAATAATGTGGAACAGACATTTAAGGGTGAGCAAAGAGGAAAGACCAGGCAGGAAATGTGGATGGAAGGGCTGCCTGCAAACCTTCAGCTCCAATGAGGGCAAGTTGTACTGACATGGATGGGATTTCAGCGGTGTCTCCTGGATTTTCACGAGTGCCTGTTTACTTAAACTGGGATGAGTAGGCTTCTGTCTTTTGCAATGAGATGATACCAAAGACTGAAGGATTAAAACACACAAACACCTCCACCACGAGCCTTAAAGCATGTGACACTACACCTGTCAGGCCTTCAAAGAGTCAGTCCCCTTTGAATAGTTTTCTCATGTCCTCCCCAACGTAGAAAGCAGAAAGATTCTCTTTCCCAAACTCCCTTTGCAGCTGGGGACAAGGCCTGGGCCCAAGGCTCTCCCTGTCAGATATACACATGGTAGAGTTCAATTCAGAAATGATCAGTGTGAGGAAATGGGTTGGGCTGAGGCACTGGTGCTGCTGGTGAGAGTGGCTGGCAGCAGAGCTTCTGGATTTCCAGGAGCCGTGCTGGTTGTGAGTTATTCCAGAGCAGAAACAGCTTTGGTGCTAGTGGCCTTGGTTATCTCGGAGTCATTGCTGGCAGTGGCGCACACTGTAACCTCTGTAGTTTCAGCTCACAGCTCACAGGTCACAGTGGGTGCTTTCCACAGGCCAGTTTGGGCATGATTTTGGAATGTTCCAGCTTAGTTTTGAGCCTGTTTGTTCAGCCTCCCAACAATTCAATGAGACACTCAGAGTCCTTTACAGATGTTTTTGGCTCAAACTTGCCAAAGTGGGTTCTGTTATTTGCAACTTACAAAATCCTGTTTCATATAGCATCTCTGGCCACGAAACTATTTTTAAGATCGGTATATGACCTCTCTGAACACAGGAATGGGTACACCCTTGAAGTTTCTAGAACACTCTGACACTGGGACAATAAGGGTTCTATCGTGTTTTTATGTGAGGCTGGTAAACTTAGTCTCCCACCAATAAACTAAGCAATTATTCTCTGTCTAGGTGCCACCTTTGGTAGGAAGGTTTATAAGAAGTGAAAATAAGGAAGACTGCTCTGACCTGAAAGAAGAATTTCGCCAAGAATTCAGCAAGCTTGAGGAGGTAATCAATCGCGTCTTTTGGCTTTTATCAGAGTAAATGATACACTACACCTACCCACTTGTTTCGACTCTCTTTTCTTCATATCCTCATTCCCCAGCTCACTTTATAGGAATTAGTAATAATACCAAATAAGAAATTTTAGTTTATAACAGATTGACATAAGCTGTGTGTTTTAAGATATAAACCAAAACACCTAAAAATATTTTGTCATGGGCTTTTAAAATGTTTTGTTGCATCGATGTTAAAATAACATGGAAAAAAGGAAATTCACCAATATTTCTATAATGTGTCACCTGTTTTCTTTTTTTCCCATGCTGCTTCCAGTCCCTGTCCATAAATAAATAAATAAAAAGATTAACATAAATGTAATCAGAGCATAGATACCATCCTGTGTTATTTTACTGAGTATTATATAATAAACATTTCCCACCACAAAGAGTTTGCCATGAATCCTACAGACACTTGGCAAAGCCAGATGTGTTTTACCTCCTTTGGGGGAGAGTTGCCATTTTGGGCCTTTAGATTGAGTCTTCCTCTTGGCCTTCAGACATTCCAAATGCTTCAGGTAGATTTAAACAATCAGTTTACAATGCAGACTGTTATACAGGCCCTGAAAAAAACTGTAGAAGTTTTATAAAGGGTTAAGTTGATTTGATATTGATTAATCAAGTAATATTCTGAATTCCCCCCCTTTGACAAAACCATAATACCAATTCACCTTCTTGAATTTCAAATACATAGTTTACGCTTGGTTTTCAAATAATTTTATTTAACAGCTAATTGTTAAACTAGCTATTCCCAGTATATTTTAAGAAAATTGTTTAATTGAAGAATTATAGAGAAGTAACCAAAACATAAGAGTCCAGCTTGATGAGTTTTTACTTAGGGAACATAGGCATAGAATCAGCACCCATAGCAAAACACAGAATATTCGTTTTGGCTATTTTTTTTGTTATATAAATGGACTCAAATAATATGCACTTTTTTTGGTCTGTCTATTTCATACAGTATTAGGTTTGTGAAGTTCATCTATGTTGGGTGTAGGTCATTCCTATTTTTTGTAGTTCCAGCATATGGCTGTATCACAGTTTTTAAAAAGATCCTTTTTACTCCTTGTGAGCAGAAAACATTTCTGCTTTGGGGCTATTACAGTTAGTGCTGCAGTGAACATTCTTTGGTGAATATATGTTCACATTTCCAAGTAGAACGACTGGGTTAAAAGCATGCATGTACTCAGCTTTAGATACTATTAAAACATGGTTGTACCAATTTACATTCCTATCACCAGTGGTTCCACACCTTCGCTAACTTTGTCTTGTTCATTTTAGCCATTCTAATGGATGTATAGTGGTATTACATTTTGGTTCTAATTCACATTTCCCTGATAACTAATGTAGTTGACTACCTTTTCAAATGGTTATTGGCCATTTGGATATCCTTTAATTGTGAAGTGTAAGTCTTGCCCAATTTTTTAAATAGGTGGTTTGCCTTTTTTCTTGATTCCCAGGAGTTCTTTCTATATTCTGCATACCAGTCCTATGTTGTATTCCGAAGATCTTGCACTCTGTTGCTTATTTTATTTTTCTCCACTTTTCAGTTTATTTTGTTTATTGTTTTGTTTCATCCCAAACTAACAAATAGTAAAGCTTAAACTGATCAAATAGACAAAAAGTAAACTTGGATATGTCAGGGTAAAAGCTGCTGGTCTCACCACTCTACTTAACTCACCTGCATCATCTCTGATGATGAATCTTACTAGATATCCAAATAAGAAGTACTCTTATGATGTTTAATGTCCAGGTTCTGACCAATAAGAAGACAACCTTCTTTGGTGGCAATTCACTTTCTATGATTGATTACCTCATGTGGCCCTGGTTTGGATGGCTGGAAGCACTGGAGTTAAATGAGTAAGACATTTGAATATTTTGTGCATAATTTAGGATAATGATAATTTGAATAGTATATGTTGACCTTTTTCTGAACAAAAATATTTTATACAACTTTTATGAGTGGGAAAAGGCAGACAGAAGGAAGACTTGTGCATGTCATATACCTACACTCACCACTGCTTCCCATCAGGGGGAGTAGGCAGGGGTTCTGTGACATGTGGTAAAATGTTTTAAAAGTAATTTACTCCTTCCCTCCTTAATAAAAATCCATAAGGAAGGTTTGGGGAGGAGGAGCTGAGTGAAAAAGGTGAAGGTATTAAGAAATACAATTGGCAGTTACAAAATAGTCACAGGGATGTAAAATACAGCATAGGGAATATAGACAGTAATGTTGTAATACCTAGGTATGGTGTAAGATGGCTACTAGACTTATTGGGGGATCACTTTGTATGTTATATAAATGTCTAACCATTATGCTGTACATCTGGAACTAATATAATATTGAATGTCAACTGTAATTGAAACTTTTTAAAAAATCCATAAGGATGTACATTTTTATAAGGCTGTCATGCAGGATTATATGACCAATGCTACCTCCCAGTTACCAGTAAGATTCCATATTGGTTTGCAAGCTCCACATTTTGAAGTTTGGCAGCCACTTTAGCTTACTCCCTCTTAGAGCTTAAAGCTATTCAGGGTTACTCTCTATATATGTATATAGCGGAGGGTCTTGCCCTAGTAATATCAAAGATCAGTGATCACAGATCTCCACAACAAATATAAAAATAATGGCAAAAGTTTGAAATATTCTAAGAATTACCAAATGTGGCATAGAGACACGAAGTCGAACAAATGCTCTTGGGAGAATTGCGCCAGTAGACTTGCTCAATACAGACTTGCTCAATGCAGGTGTGTTGCCACAAACCTTCAATTTGTAAAAAACGCAACATCTGAGAAGCTCAACAAAAGGAGGCATGCCTTATTCTATGATTATGTACATTTTAAAGAACTACTTTAAAAGGTTAGAGGAGAACGAAGTGAAACTGCAGAGTGCTAATGATGACATATAGACTTTGCAATGCCTTCTTCTTTCGTCCAGCTCACACCTTCATTCTTTCCATCTCCCACAGGTGTGTAGACCACACTCCAAAACTTAAGCTCTGGATGGCAGCCATGAGGAAAGATCCTACAGTATCAGCTCTCCTCATTGACGTGAAAACCTTTCAAGGTTTCTTAAATCTCTACGTGCAGAACAGCCTGGAGGCCTGTGACTACGGGCTCTGATGGGGGCAGAAGTCAACAATGAAAATATATCTGATACTTTCCTTCACTAATAGGAATAAAAGCATGCTTTTATCTTAAAAAGTGCTCTCATGTTTCTTTGGATCACCTTCTTTGAGTTGACATCATGGCCCAGCGGTGGGGTTTCCTTAAGGCCTTCATGCAGAAATGTAAACACATTTCCTGCTCCGGATGCTCAAATGACACTAAGGTTTCTATCAGTCTCTGCTGAAAACCTCTAAGTCATCCCCTCTACTGAGATCTAGACTTCAATCTAGATTTCTAACCTCCCATAGAACATTTCCACGTGGATACCCCATTGTCATTTCAAGAGATGCCCTTTCAAGTTTGTCTTCAAGGTTTTGAATTGAGAATTTCCAATCCTCATTTTTTCCATCATCAACTGAATTTCACTTGCCATTGTCACCCATGAAGACCAAACCTGCATCACCTCAAAGTCAGGTGACTAGGTGGCCTCCTATTTGATCTCCAATATCCAACCTGTATCCTCTTCAACTCCTTCCTACCAAAATCCCATTTCAGGTGTACAAAATAGAGATTATGTTGTACAACCCATTCAATATGTAATTACTGTGGAGACCACATCCCTTAATGTGGTATGTAAGGCCGAATGAGTAATAGGTAATATCCCCATTCAGAAATAGTAATGCCATCTTCCATACACTTCCATAGCCCATTGGTCTTCTCACTAATGTTTATCATCACATCACCTCCAGGAGAAGAAAGTAGGTCAGAGAGCATCACTTCACTCTATAGATCATTCAACTAAGCTCCCGAGGTTAAATGAGACCTTACGATGCTGGCAGAAATATCTGGAGGACACACCCAGCACCCTGTTCTTACTGTCGGAGTTAAGGGGCTGTTGACCAGCCAGCCCCAATACAGTCTGGTTTCCTGTACTTCAACGGAAGAGCACCTAGCAATCACCTTGGGCTCACTGCTGGGGGTGGGCCGGGTGGGCCACATTTGAAAAGAGCGCCCCCCTCCCACCCCATTGTGATGCAAGCGATCTGGGGGCCGCACCCTGAGAGGCAGCTGACAAAGGATGACTTCACAAAGGGCCTTCGGCTGCCAACGCCCAAGCTCTGGGCGACCCACCTCTGCTCAGATCGGCCTGCCCCACACTCTGGGCCCAGGTCGGCTGCGGGCGGACTTCAGTCGGATGCAGACTCGGGCACTGAAGTGCCACAGAGAGCCACTACCCGGTCACAGACACCCGTGGGGAATCGAGACTCCGGTTCCCAGCAGCCCGGAGCGCAGCCCCCCAGCGGCTCCGCTCGCTCGCACGGACTGGCCAGAGCGCTTCTGAAGGCCTCTAGGGTTTGGCTGGAGCTCTGGGCACCGGGGCCAGTAGGCGGGTAGGATCTCACTCCAGGGGCGGGCTCCACCCTCGTTTTACAGCCGGTTCCCTTTCCCACGGGCGGGGAGGTGTCTGGCGGCGTCTCTCCTGTCCCCTCTACCGGGTGGGTGCGTGGGTCTGGCCAGGGTTGCATTTGAAAGGAAAAGGGGTGTGTGGTCAATTCTGGAAACAAGTGCTGATTCTATTTCAAACAAGTCTATTTGAAAATAGAGCTGTTTTTTTTTCACTTATTCTTCAAACTCGGTGAACAATATCCCAACACCCAGTCATCTTTCATGGAAATTAGGCTTTGGAAGTATTCAGAGGGATGTCCTCCAGGTTTTGCCACCATCCGAGATAGGTATGAGAGAAAACATTTAAAAAAAAAACAACACCTGAAAAATGCTAACTCCAGTTCTATTCTCAAAACAGAGATTCAATTAAATAGAGTAAATTTTTTCTGTGGTGGCATTCTTTTCCTCGAAGGCTTAAGTTACTATTACCCATGCCTGAAGATCCCCACATTTGCAAGTAGATCCGATTATATTTCAGGTAGCTGGAAACCAATTTGGAGTAGGTTTAATATGGCCTTGTTACCATTTGTTTCTTGCTTGAATGAGTCTGTATAATAGAGGTGTAAACATGATATAATTACAGAGAAGGACAATCTGCAAAGAGGATTTCAAAGAAGTACCTATTGGGTCTTTAAAGGGAAGTAGGGATAAACTCAAAGGTCATAATTAAACTCTTTCCAGGGAAACCACAGTGTTCAGCGGTAGGATTAAAATCCCCATTACTGAAATGTAGCCTGCAGCATTCAACTGCCATTTTAACTGGTAACTGGTGAAAGAAATATTCAGTGTTGAATTCTAATTCTAATATGCTTGGCAAAGCTGGATTGCAGTGCATTTCATCTTTATGGATACAAAATTGGAATGCACTATGCTCTTAAAAATGTGTTCTTATTCACTACAATTAGTCATTAACTTTGAGCTCTTACTGAGGATCACCTGTATGATTTCATTCAATATTCAAAACCCATCAAGAAGGTGCTGTTTCTCAGGGTAAGGCTAAAGAAAGGAGTAAAGCTAACTTATCCCCATGGAGATCCAGACCTGACCTTGGCCTCATTAGCTCTGGGCTCTGACTGAGCTAAGCCAGCCCAGATGGCTTTAGAAATAAGGTAAATACCTACTTCAAAAAAAATAAGAAAGAAATTAATAGCTTGCTAGCCTTAAAGTGATGGGGAGGTGAAGATGTGGATTTTCATACTGAAAAGTTCTTAGGACTTTCCAAGTTACATTGTTTTACTATTATTGATATTATTTTCAGTTAAAGATGATGAAATCTAGTTTATTTTCTCCAAATAGAAGCAAGTTTTAGATTTATAAAAAGTCAACACAATAAAGCCTTTCCTTTTAATAATAAAAAAAAAAAAGAAGGTGCTGTTTCTTTCTCATTTCACAGATGAGAAGGATGAAGGTCAAAGAGGGGAGAGATAGCTTGTCTAAGTGCCAAAGCCAGGGTGTGAGTGTAAGTGCCAACGGAGAACCTTGACATTATTTTCCTTCCCTTCAGGGGAAGAATTCTTTTCATTACTTTGTCTATTCTCCCCTAACTACACCAAATAGACTTGCATTTTAGAATGTGACTTCCCATACACGGATATACTTTAAAGAAACAGCATTTACCAACTCTCAGAGTTGGTTTCCTTTAAAAGGTGGCAACAAGGGGAGGGGGGAAATCTTGGAAATAGGTTCTCTCTAGCATAGTGGAAAAGTGGAACCTTTTACTTTGCAAATGGAATTCCCAGTTTGGCCCTTAAAAATTCATTCATTGTCAGTTTCCTCCAGGATGGGCAAACTCAGGCCAGAGAGCCAAATCCAGCCCACTGCTGGGTTTTGTACAGCATAAGAACTAAGCATGGTTTTTATATTTTTAAATGTTTGAAAAAACAAAGAATCATAATTTATGACACATGAAAATCATATGAAATTCACCAAGAGTAAACCCTAAAGGAAACTATTCACCACTCAGTTTGTCTTCACTGATTAAAATTAGTTTCAGAATATTAGTTATCCTATTACTTTATCTTCCAAAATGCAAAATTGTCAGGATGGCAAGTGAAGAACCAATGTTTTTCCAATACCAGACTTCTTGCTGACACATATGCAATTTCTTTTAAGAGAAAATGTATTAGAACATTTTTGCTATTCCCCAAACTTATAAATCCACAGCAACTTGTCATGTCTCACATGAAATCACTCTGAATGACCTAACAAAAAATGTTGTTGAGTCACTATTCCAAAGACTTTCAAAGATTCCTATTTAGTAGGAAAAAAAATGTTAACACGATTAACCAAGAATTTCTGGATAGATTGGAATTCCAAAGGCCAAAAGGTGTCCAATCATGAGCTACATAATTAGGTTCTGTCATTTTAATGAAGGATATTTAGATTCAGCTAACAATTGTTGAGCAGCAATTACGTGTCAGATGTTTTCCAGGACTTAGATCCTTTCCTCTCCACACTGTTAGCAGCTTTAGAGGCCAAGACAATGAGCCAGCTTTGGACTTTTAAAGTTCTTCAACCCTACTAGCGGGTCACTCTGGACAAATAATTTCATTTTCCTGAGGATATTTTCTATTTTGTAAAATAGGAATAATAATATTGCCTGAGTAGTTGTGGGAATCAAATAAGGTAATCCAATGGAAACCATTTAATCAGAATGAGTGAGGCATAGAATGCTTTTCTTTCCTCCTTTACTTGTCAACCCTCTGAAATGCATTGATGAGTAATTCCTGTTTCGGCTCAATCCTGTAAAAATCAAATAAGTTCTCTTTCCATCTGCTGAATTTCAGGATCACCAAGCTGCTTAGGGTCGGAGTAAAGACCAGCTACCGCCTTGATTTCATGTAGATGGAAGAGCGATCCAAGTGACCCCTGTATTGCTGGGCTGTTGACAATGTGCCCTTAGCCATTATAACGGATCTTCTCTAAGATTCATGCTGGGGGTTGGGGAGAGCTCACAAATTTTTCTTTGCCTCTAGATGATCTTGTTTCGAATTCATTACCAGTTTTTTCATAGCTTGGGTACAATCTCACGAATCGGGCTGGAACTAGAGTGAGGCCAGTGAGGGCACAAAATTTAAGGAGACACTCTGGCGTGCAAGAGCTCAATACTAAGAAGCGTTTCTTCTCATCTGCTATATTATGAAAAAGCTTGCCTTTATTTTTTGTGCTCCACAGAGAATGAGGCCTATTGTCTTAGAGATGCAGGAGGGAGGGCTTAGAATGGGAAAGAAAACCTTAGTGCTACCCAGGTTAGTGTTTGTTAAACTCCCTTGAAATAGCTGGCGTTTCAGTGCTCAATCTCCACAGATTCTCAGTGCCGAGAAGGCTGTACCCACGTGTTCAAGGCAGGGGGTACTTCTCAGGGTTTTTATTTGTTGTGTTTTGCCCACACTCCTAGTTGGACTTCCAAGTCCGGGGCGAAGTCTCTCCATGTTGTTATCCTACCTCGCTCGCTTCCCAGATCACGTCCCCGCTGCCCCACCAGATCCCAATCCCCTAAACCTTGAATTTGGGCTGCAGGGGCGGCGCGCCGGAGCCTGTGGCTGCGGCCGCGGCGAGCTCCAAAGGCGAGGCTTGGAGCACTGGGCGCTGTGCAGACGCACGATAACCATGGGTGAGGATGAGAGCCGGAGCCTGGGGAAAGGTGAGTCCTCTGGGTCCGCGGGATGGAGACGCTGGGCCTTGGCCCCCAGACCAGCTCAGTGGGGGGGTGGGGGGGAGGCTGGAAGGGTTCCTCTGCACAAAAGCCTCGTGCAAAAGTGTCCAGTCTGGGGACTCCGGAGGAGGAGGAGGAGGAGGCGTGCGCAGCCCTCTTGAGGTCACGGGGAGGAGAGTGAGCCCCTCTCCCCAGTGGCCTAATCCACCTCTTGGTACCCCTCACCCGCCCCGCAGGAAGTGTCCCCCCAGGGCCGGTCCCAGAGGGCCTGATCCGAATCTACAGCATGAGGTTCTGTCCCTTTGCGCACAGAACGCGGCTGGTCCTCCTGGCCAAAGGCATCAGGTGAGAGATCAACATATAAATAAGGGATCCCCGGGGGGGGGGGTGGGGGGGGGGAGCGCGGGGGGCGGTGTTGCAAATCTGGAGCGGGGGCCCCCCGGCTTCTCTTCCGCTCTGGAGATGCGTGTCTGTCTGGGTCAGCCTCTCACGTTTGTTGTCTTGTTTCCCCTTTGCCTTTTAAGCTATGAGGTTATCAACATTAACCTGAGAAACAAGCCTGACTGGTACTATACAAAGCACCCCTTTGGCCAAATCCCTGTCCGTGGAAAACAGCAGATGTCAGCTGATCTACGAATCTGTGATCGCTTGTGAGTACCTGGATGATGCTTATCCCGGAAGGAAGCTGTATCCATATGACCCTTATGAGCGAGCTCGCCAAAAGATGTTATTGGAGCTATTCTATAAGGTATGTTGAATTTTTTAAAAAGCCACTTACGCTCTCTCTTTTACTTTGTATGTCTTTCCCAAACTTCATTTTTAAAGCCCAATCATCGGTGAAATTGTTTTGTTTTGATACTGCACGTGCCTTAGGAGCATAACTGGTATGCAATTATAGTAGAGCCATCGCCTCTGATATTAAAGGTTAAAGGCTTCACTGAGAAGTGCTTTCCATGTGAACTAGCAGTCTCAGAGGTATGATGATGGCAAAGTTTTGACTGTGTGACTTAAGACAGGAATATTGAAAGAGCTGAAAACTGGTGATGCTTTACAGGGAATATTATTAAGGTTTCAGGTTTAAAAATATTGGGGAATAAAGACACTAATGCACGGAAGGGAACTGCTCTTTTTTCAGAGCAAGAGTGCCAACTGTCCAGGAAATGTGGAGACAAAAGGGGGTACCTGCTGATAACTGGGGGAAAAAGTGGAGAAACTTTAAAATGGTTCTCTTTGAAATGCAATAAAAACAACTGACATATACTGAGCATGTATGATGTGCCAAGCACTATTCTAACTCCCTTTATAAAGGTTAACTCATGCAACCCTTACAACTGCCCTTGTACCAGGTGGGTACTATTACTGTATCCATTTTTTTAGGTGGGAACACTGGGGCTTAGAGAGGTTAAGTGCCTGCCTAAGATTGTACAGCATGGAAATAGCTGATCAAGTAAGAAGCACTTGAGAACACTTTTTTAAAGCACCTTGTTTTACCCGGGAGCTAAGACAAATGGATTGCTGGAACCGCAGAGACCCCTCAGGATACTCCTATTGAGGAGCCGGGATGTGGGCGTTGGCCTGTTAAGCTGGAGGGACAAAGCTTTGGCTGTGTTTTTAGGCAGCGCAGAAGCGTGGCGTTCCCTCAGATTTCTCCACTAAGAAACCCGTGTCCTCTGATTAGGTCCCACATTTGACCAAGGAGTGTCTGGTAGCATTGAGATGCGGGAAAGAATGCTGTGATCTGAAGCTAGCCCTTCGTGAGGAATTCTGCAACCTTGAAGAGGTACAAAAAGGGGCCCCTCTCCGGGTTAGATCCAATGGAAGAAGCGATGTAGGGTCGTTAACCTGGTCACCCTGACACCTTCTGCTGGCACAGACTTCGTCTTTCTGCCTGACTTTGATAAGTTCGGCTACTTGTCATCTTAACTCGTGCTTTCTCTATTTTAGAATATGTGCTTGGGTCTGATTTCCAGGAATGGCATTACCAGATCAAAGGGCATGAACACTGTACAGGCTGGAGCTGTATGATGCTACATCCTCCCCAAAGAGCAGTATATGAAAATGCCCTTTGCTCTACCCCCTTTTCACTCTTGGGGAACTTCGTGTAAAAAGATATGTGCCGCCCTAACCGGTTTGGCTCAACAGATATAGAGCATTGGCCTGCGGATTCAAGGGTCCCAGGTTCGATTCCGGTCAAGGGCATGTACCTTGGTTGCAGGCACATCCCCAGTGGGGAGTGTGCAGGAGGCAGCTGATCAATGTTTCTCTCTCATCGATGTTCCTAACTCTCTATCCCTCTCCCTTCCTCTCTGTAAAAAAAATCAATAATATATATATTTTTAAAAAGATATGTGCCTGTTTTGAAGAGCGAGAGCAATTTCTCATTGTTGAGATAATGAGTATTTCTTTGATTGCTAGTGAAGTGGGATATTTTCCCCAAAGTATGCCATCTCTTAGTATTCTTGTTTTTTGTGTGAAAATGGTCTGTTAGCCGGCTTGTCTATCAAGGTCTTACTGGTTTTTCTTGCTGATTTGTGAAAGTTCCTTTTAAAGAGTTTCTTTCAGGTAAAAGATATTTGCTTGTTTTTAAGACATTTTAGTTTTCTTTTGTTATAACTTTTAACTTGGCTTATCTTTTTCTGTATGCATAGAAATATAACATTAAAAATTCTGTGCCATAATCTTTTCTGTTGTGATTTCTTCCATTGTTTTTATACACAGGAGGTTCCCCCTTACCCCCCGCTTCAGAGATTCGATCAATATTCATTTATCTTTTCATCCACCATCCATCACTTTAAAGATGTTTGACTTGTCAAGCATTGCTTTGCTAGCTTCAACCCCCTTACTAGCTTACAAATAAATTTTGGCAAAAGAATTAAGCCCATTAAGAGGATGCCAGGATAGAATTTTCAGGGTGGTCCTTTAATCCCCAAATGTTGGCAAGATGCCTTCTGAATCTTCATAGTGATGAGCAGCAAGATGGGGCATGTTCTACCAGTCACTACTTCTAAGGTTTCTTTGTAGAGGACAAATGATTTTATACTCTGTTATACACACTTGGTTTGTTTTACAGGTGTCATTGGTTCATTGTCATTAGCTCACCTTCAGCTGTATATCAGTGTAGCAGGGCCCTGGAATTTGAAATCTGGAGAATCTCCCCTTATCTTTTATGAACTCAAGACTTCTGCTCTGGAGTTGAGTACTTGACTGTTGCTTTTGGATAAGGGCCTGAATTGCTGGTTTATTGGCAAGCAGCTTTGTGTCTTTTGGGTATGTGTGTAGTGGGAAGGGAAGGAGAGGAGGTTCTGATTCTTAAGAACTATTTCCATCAAGAAAAACCACCTCCTTCCTCCTCCAGCAAGGACATGAGCACCCCAATGTGAGCCACCACGCTGTCTGTCCTCCTTAGAGGCTGGGGGTGCAGGGCAGCAATTACTGAAGCTGAATCCAAGAGTCCAGGACTGTAGACTGAAGCTTTTTAGAATGCCTGGTTTGAGGAAGTCTCGGATTCTCTTCTCTTCGTGACCTTGTTTGTACACAAAACCCTTACAGATAAGATTTCTTTCTCCCTGTGACCCTCCTGGAGGTGCCACAGTCAGTGCGCCTCACCAGCGATGGCCACTAGGGGGAGCCCGCGCGCTTCTTCCTTCCACTTGTGCTCCAGCTGCTAACCTCCTTTCCATCCCCCTGGGGGAGCCCGAGAGATCCTCGCAGAAGATGAGGGGACCTTCCTTCCAGGCTTCTCACCTTCAGGGGGTGGAAATAGTGTTCCCTCGTCAAACCAAAAGGTCCTTTGCTCTTCATTTGCATGCCCACTCTTCATCTCTTACCACATCCTTTAAAAGCAAGGGGACCACCCTCTGTAGTCATTTTTCAGTGAACTGGAGGACAGAAAGCTTAAAAAATAGATTTTCTATTATTTCAGAACATCGAATGGCTATCCCTCAAATATCTCAATTTCTTAAGCCTGAATTGAAGATGTGTTAGAAGGGCTAGAAGGCAGAGCCTCAGTTCCCTACCCACGTGTGGCCTTGTGAGGGATGCCTGGGGCCTTGGAAGAACAATGTCTCCCCTAAGCAGGCCATTTTGCCTTGCTTGGTGATGCCAAGGACAATAGCGCTGAAAGTGAGGGATTCCACTGTGAGGGAAGCTATTCAATATTAAGAATGGCCAACATCATTCGCTGTGGCAGGCGGGAAACAGAAAGAACTCAAAATAGAGTTTTTCAAAATGACGTTGGGTATTGACATGACCACGGCTAAGTGGGTCCAGGTATAGCAGCAGCAGCTTCCTAGTCTGTTTCTGATGACAAAACACCTAGGAAAGATAAGACACTGGGAATTAAGGCTGCAGGTTTAGTTTGCCTCTGACTCTCCTAAACATTGTGATAGCATCTCATTCGCTGTAAGCAAGACACTAGTTTAAACTGAGAACACAGAAGAACTATTTGAGTGAAGTTGCCTGAAGACCTTATCAATGGATTGAAACAGGAAGGAGAGAATTCTGGTAAGCTCTGCAACCACGAGTATGTTGGTGTGTGTCCCCTCCCTGCAGAGCCCCTGACTGAGAGCGGGGAGAAAGTGGGATTGAGGGGGCAGTTCTCCTGGGAAGCTGAGCTGGGCCAATCCGTGGCTGCAGAGCAGGAGAGGCTTTCAGAATATGCCGATTCTAAGCTTTTTGCTGATTCTTAAAGAACAAGCAAAGAGTTCACAACAGACTGGAAGCGTCTGTGAGTAGAGTCCTCCTACATTTGAAGTAGAATGACACAGGGATCGACTCTAGTCTGGGAATTAGGAGAATGGTGTTTCCGTCTTAGCTCTGGCACTAGCCAGAGGGTCCCTTTACCTCCCTGGGTCTGTTTCCTACCCTGACAGTGAGAGTCTCTTGTGCTTCCATGTGAGAGACAAGACTCAGCTTGCCAGGATGTTTTCCTCTCCATTTCTGCTGCCAGGAAACCCAAGTCCATTTTAAAGCTTTAAGGATCTCTGCAGGACTCCTGGCTTGATATCTTGATACCATTTTCCTTCCTTGTTTTGACCTTCTGTTCTTTTATTTCCCCAGAGCTTAGCATTTTATTATTTTTCATATTTAATATTTTATTGTACACTTCTTTTACCCTGCAGCTCTAATCTTTTGTGTAATGAGCCTGGTCTAAAAAAATGGCAAAATGATGGTGGGGGGAGGGGAGTCACATTAGATGACTTCCAGTGGCCCTTCCGTTGCTGATGTTCTGTGATTCTAAGGGGAAAAGTTATTTCACATGTTTGGAAGTTACCAGGTTTGCATAGAAGGGAGCTCTCCTATTGAGGGTCCTAAGACTTCACTAAATCTCTGAGGAGGGCTGGCCAGTATGTTCTCCTACATCATTGGGATGTGTCTGTAAAGGAGCTGGCATGTTGTGCTGGTTTACAGGAAGCCAGATATTCTGTTGGGATTTTTAGCTTTGCCCTGGGAGAAATCTGGTGGAGAAATGTCTGTCTGAGGCAGCTGAGGCAAGAACTCTAAGGATCTTGATGTGAGTGGTCCCAAGTCACACTTGGATTTAAGAAAAGTGCAAAGGAATGTGCATATGTATTTTGGGGATGGGGTAGAAGCTGCCAGAAAATAGTTGATGCCTCACCCATTTCATCTATATGCTCATCTTGACTTTTTACTATACAAAGTACCTTGTTACGACTTGAATTACTTTGTGAGAACTGATGTACAGGTTGATCATAGCTATAAGATCATATATATTTAATGGCATACACTCCTACTTTGAGTAAATGAAAAGCTCCAGAAACATATACTAAATAAATGTCAATTACTAAGCAGCTATTCATTTTCAAAATATCTTGTTACTTTACCAAAGGACCCATCATGGGTTCCATTAAATGTCTGCATATGATTTCTTTTGACAAGGACTTTCCCAAAAGCATCTCTGCTCTGTAAAGCACAAGAGTTACACAGAAATTCCAGAGTCGATCCACTTAGATTGGGTTCTGATTTGTGCCATGAAAGCTAGTAATAAGCTGGAGGTATATGTTTCAAAATCAGTGATACAAATTTGGGTAACTATTATTTTTATTCCTGAACATCAGAAGTCTTGTGCCTTTCTGGAATCCATAAAAACAGAACAATTTGTCCCTCTACTCTGTACGTCAGATCTTATTTTTACATGACTGAAAATAGTCTCTGTTTTGAATTTTTATTGGCCAGATTCTGTTGTTTTAGTACTATCCTGTTAGTGGTTTCTTTGAACAAAGTGACACCATCTCACATTTTTTTCAGATTTTCAGGACACCAGGAAGGGGGCTTCTCTATGCCATCCTGGGAGAGAATGAAGACTTAGATTAGGGCCACAGGATTTGCTTTCTGCTCTGAGAAGGATGTGGGGACCCCATTGATCCTTTCTGTGAGGGTGGATTTGCTTTATGTAGATGTAACCTTCTGAGGTCACTGTGCTTTGTCATCACAAGAACTCACGTTTATTCATGCATGGTGGGCACTAACATTGCCACCATTTTACAGATGAGAAAATTGAGGCTTGGAAGAAGTGGTACATAAGTTGCCATGGGTTTCATGTTGAATCAGAGGTGGAGCCCAGCACAGGACCAGAAAGGAGGAGGAAGAAGGGGGGGGGGAGAGAGGGAGGGAGAGAGAGAAACATCAATGTGAGAGAGACACATTGATTGGCTGCCTCCCACAAGGGTCCCTATGGGGCTGGGGAACCTGCAACTGAGGTACATGCCTTTGACCGGGAATTGAACCTGTGACCCTTCGGTCCACAGGCTGACACTCTAACCACTGAGCAAACCAGCCAGAGCAGAACTTACCTTCTTAACTATAACCCTACACTACATCATAGAGTCAACAGCTGTTTTAGAGTATAAAAAATCAAGCCTGATTGATAAAGATAGGAGTATGGAAATCTAGATAAAGGGCACAGGAATCTAGATCTATAACTACAGGGAAGAATTTAGTTGACTATGAGTTAAATGGGTCAAAGTCATCTGATTAGCTAGGTAATTGACACCATACCTTTCTCTCTGGGAAAACCTGGCCCAACAATAAACTCTGCTAAGTACTTTTGCTTTTTAAATTTTCAAGTGCTTTTATTTGTTTATTTATTTTGACTTTGGCTGTCTGTTAAGAGTTTATCTGCTTTCTATCTGGGATTAATTTGTCCCATTTGGGAAAGAGAAATTTTATTTTAACGTAAAAAATTGATAATGTTGACTGGCCAACAAGTGTGAAGTTCAAAGAACTGAAATAAAAAAGAAAATATGATAAAAAGACAATGGTGGGATTAGACTCTAATTAGATTAGTGGTTCTCAACCTTCTGGCCCTTTAAATACAGTTCCTCATGTTGTGACCCAAACATAAAATTATTTTCGTTGCTACTTCATAACTGTAATGTTGCTACTGTTATGAATCGTAATGTAAATATCTGATATGCAGGATGGTCTTAGGCGACCCCTGTGAAAGGGTCGTTCGACCGCCAAAGGGGTCGCGACCCACAGGTTGAGAACCGCTGGCTTAGAGGGAGTCCATTAAGTAGCACTGCTCTTTCTTGCCCAGCTCAGTGGTTGAGTGTCGACCTATGAACCAGGAGGTCATGATTCAATTCCTGGTCAGGGCACATGCTCGGGTTTCAGGCTTGATCCCCAATAGGGGGCGTATAGGAGGCAGCTGATCAATGATTTTTCTCTCATCATGGATGTTTCTATTTCTCCCTCTCCCTTCCTCTCTGAAATCAATAAAAATATTTTTTTAAAGAAAGAAAGCAAAAGAGGAAGGCACATGGTGACACAGTATCCCCTTTGTTACAGATAAAGTGAATCCTGGAGAGTGGGGGGTCACAACTGGAACAAGTGGGGTTCCTATTGTGGCCCTCCTCCATCCCAGTATTAAGCTGCACTGGCCTGACACAGGGTCTCCCCTCTCTGGGGGCTGAGCTGCTCCACGGAGAGCATAGCACTGGGAGGAGCCTGCTCCAGGCTGAGAGAGGGACAGGCTCCCTCTGCCTGGGTGGTCCTTCCAAATTCTCCCATCAGAGGAGCCACCCTCTCCCTCCAGGGTTCAAAGGAGGGAAGGGACTGAGTGTGGCCAGGAGTGTTACCCTAAATAGGGTGGAGGAAACCTCAGAAAAAGGGAGGAAGCACTTACCTAACAAATCAGAAGGAGAATCAAAGCCTAAGTTCTCCCTCTGTGGGAACTAATTTGATATTTGTATTTAGTATCTATAACTATGCCAGCAGATCCGCAAATTAACTTGCTTTTGTTCTGTTTAAACTTTTAGATTCTTAGCTATCAGAACACCGTCTTCTTTGGTGGAGACTGTATATCCATGATTGATTACCTCTTTTGGCCCTGGTTTGAGCGGCTGGATGTATATGGAATAGCTGAGTAAGACATTTGACCACGTGGTCATGACTTCCTGGGGTTGGACTGGGCAACAGTGGTTGAAATGGTGTGTGTGCCATTTATCCTCCTCTGGACGTGTTTCACAATGCGTGTGAAATGAAATCAGGTTTTAAACTGTTTCCTTGTTTAAAATGCATCTGTGTTCTTCTGCCACTCTCTGTGGACCCACACTCTCCCCATATTTCTGCTGATAAGACCTATGGTGCCTCAGAGCTACTGTCCTCACCAGCCCATCCAAACTCAGGCCAGTGTGCAAGCAGTTGGTGGGTCTTAGTCACCGGGTTTTGATGACTTGTCTGCAGCTCCCTCAGTGGCCCAGCTCCTGGACCTGCTGAGATAATCCTCCGAAGGATTGTCCAGAAATCCAGTGCCCACCATACACTTTACTCACATTTAGTTCTCTGAGGAATCTTCCCCAGATAGGAATATTTTAAAACACACACACACACACACACACACACACACACACACACACACACACACGCACTGATTTTAAAAGCAATAGATGCTCGATGTTAAAACAAACAAATGAAATGGCCACCATGGAAGTGTAGGGATGTTCAAAGTAGAAGAAATTGCGTGGAGGTGGCGGGGGTAGGACTATGTAGGGGCCCTGGGCAGAACATGTGCTTTGTTGTCACAATGCTCGGAGGAGAAGGGCCGGCACCTGCTCTAATCCCAGCCAGTCGCAGGGTGGGTGCTGGATGCACGGTGGGTGCTGGATGCACGGTGGGTGCTGGATGCATGGTGGGTGCTGGGAGACTCTGGCATTTGGGAATCCAGTCCTGCCCAGCCAGAGCTGTGAGGGTGCCCTTGTAATGAGTGGGCTTGACTCTCCCAGGAGTCATCTGCACATCCTCCTTTGGCTGTCTCTGAGCGAAGATCAGATAGAACATATTCAGATATTTTAAACTCTGTCTCGACACAAACATCATGAAAAACCTGTCTCCTCTGGGGACAGAGTATTGAACCACAGATTTCCCACTAACAGGTTGTACGATCTTGAAAAAGTCACTGGACATAGTCTAGATCTAAACTTTTGATCTTTGAAATAATGGAGCCCCATCAGCTCCATTATTTCAAAGTTTAATGATTGTTTCTACTCATTATTTTTTTAAAAGTGTTTTGGAAACGACTTGTTTTTATTTTTCCAAACCCACTAACGTAGGATCTGAGAATGACAGAAGAATGTCTCTTTCAGAGGGTTGTCTTCCTGTTGGTAACCAGCCAGGCATAGGCACCTTATTTCCCCAGAGCAATCAGACCACACGTATTTTAACTGTATTGTTAAAATCAGTAGCAACTCACACAATTCAAAAGCACACACAAGTACTCCAAAAACAAGGTTTTCTTTCAATGAGTGATCATGCTCAGTTGATCATAGCTAACTAAGATGACTCTATTGCCCAAAGAAACCCATTTCTTTGGTATCTAAAGAGCGACGCGTGCCATTTTCCCTGATGCCTTCCTCTTCCGGTGAGCTAACAATTCTTTCCTGTCCCGCAGCTGTGTGAACCACACCCCAGCTCTTCGGCTCTGGATCGAGGCCATGAAGCAGGACCCCACGGTGTGTGCTCTTCTCATAGATAAGAACATTTTCCTGGGCTTCTTGAATCTCTATTTTCAGAACCACCCCGATGCCTTTGACTATGGGCTGAGTTGCTGAGCCCCATGGTCCACCCCTTCACTACCCAGAATTCCCAAGCATGTCGTGACACTGTTCCAGGAGTTGTTTGGGTGGGTCAATCAATCTCTGTTCCTTTTTTTGAGGTTCCTAATAAACATGGAGACAGAAAAGGTATTCTTTCTGGTCGTCACTGTCTGACTCCTCGAGCCCATAGCTTCTAAGGATTGTCTAGAAAGCCAGTGCCCAGTGCACGTTTTAGGAGCCTGTGTGCCTCCTGGCTCCTTGGCCTTTGGCCCCAGTTTGACCTCCAGATTATTGATGCTGATGTTGATGTTTAAGGCCTGCCAATCATTGACATTTGTCACTATAGACTGGCATCCTCCACAACCTCCCTGGTGGGAGCAAAGGCAGAGAGGAAAAGGAAGAAGAAAACACTCCAAATCCAAATATTCTCCACTTGGCAAACGAAAGCTGCAGCCCACGTGGGTGAGCATGAGTATCATTGTCATTCACATTTTGGCTGTGGGCCTGGGAGACACCGGGGGTCCCATGACTGAAAGAATTCCAAAGCAGGAAATGAAACACCCGTTATCACCCTGGACTAAAGACGTCAGAATTTTACCAGTGCTGTCGGGGCTCAGGATAGCTCACAAAATGTTCTATAGCCAACATCCTGTCTTAAAAAAATACACACACCCCAAACCCAGTCCCAGGCAAAGGTCACTCTGTTGGATTTGCGTCACACACTCTTTCAATTCATTGCAACAAACACCTCCAGTTGCCTGTTGTGTACCAAACCCTGGAACATATGCATGATAAGATGACAAAGATGACAAAGACATGGGAGCCCCGGGTCCCTCCACTCATTTTGGTTGGGGTGTTAGACCTAGTGTTTTGAAGCTGCTTGTCTTGCTGTGGGAATGCTTGTCTCAGCCTGATATGCTGGCTCGGACCCCTGAAAGTGACAAAGAGCCCAGAAGAATGGCCTGGTGTGCTGGCAGGTGTCTTAGGCGTGGGACGGGCCTGTCCAATGTCATCTTGTCTCGGGATCTAGGGATCAGCCATTGATCCTTTTAAGCCTTTTTCCCAGCCTCCAGCCAGGCTGAGACCAGGCAGCAACAGGAGTGATGTTGTGAATTGTCCATGCCCACGGAGGAGCTGTCTGCTGCCCTTGCCTCTGACTCAGCCCAAACCAGCCTCATTTCTCCCCATGTCTCAGCCTGGCCTGGCCATCTGCTGCCTCTGGGTGTATTTTGACGCATGTAAATAGTTACCAGTGTGACTCCGTGCCAGTTGGACAGAGCAATCCTGCTCCGTGAGGTGGCCTGGTCTGCCATCGCAGGCGCCACATGACAGGGGCCATCTGCTGCACCGTCTTCTCAGGATGGGATGCCCTGTTGCCATGGCACCCAAGCCAATGCAGAGTGACGCCTGTGAGTCACATTTCCCTGGGATCTTTGCTGGGCTTCTGTGGCCTCTCCAAGGACGTGGGGACTGATCAGCCCTTGCAGGTATAAATCCCATGTGCTGGTGAGTGTTTAGCATGGGACCAAAATTACTGTCAGCACAACAGTTAATGGCATGTCTCTGATGGCCAAAACCAAAGATGTTCTCTGTTGGGCTCCACATACTAATTTAGGAGGCTTGAAGCACCAAGAACTAAAGCATGGAGGAGAGTGCTTGTGGGGAAGGCTGCAGGCCGGCAGCGCACAGCCCAGTTTTGGATTTGAATGCCTTTCTGCCAGCTGTGCTCTCTGCATTTTGCAAAGGTCACCTGCACTACCTTCCACCTTCCACTTCCTCTCCCCCCATCTCTCTCTCTCTCTCTCTCTCAATGCTACCCATCTGACCCACAAAAGGATCTGAGTTGTTAACCTCTGGATGAAACTAGGATTTAGCCCAGAGAAAAGAGGAAATTAATGTTCCATGAGAAGCTTTTAAAAACATTTTTTAAATTGATTTCTGAGAAGTGAGGAGAGAGAGAGAGACACATCAATAATGGGGGAGAATCATTGATAGGCTGCCTCCTTCATGCCCCTCACGGGGGATCGAGCCCACAACCTGGGCATGTGCCCTGACAGGGAATTGAACTGTGACCACCTGGTTCATAGGTCAACACTCAACCACTGAGTTACACCGGCAGGGCATGAGGAGCTTTTTAAAATACCACTTATATTATTGGGAGAGGGGCAGAAATGCATCAGGGTAATAAAAATACAATGAAAAAGAATAGGAGGTATTGCTTCTCTTATCTCAGAGATAACCACTTTTAATAATTGGTATATATCTTATAAAAGCATGTTAAATTTAAGGAATGAAGGCAAAAGCTGTCCTCTATATCTTGTAGATTGGAAAAAGAGAAAATAGTTTCAACCACAGACAGCATTTGAAAGAGCCTCATTGTCATCTGATCCATGACCAGAGGAGACTGGGTAGAGCTCCCTTAGAGTTCTGCACTGGAGCCATCTGGACCAAGTCCAGTTACATCCTGACATGGTGGGGGTGGGGCGGAGGTGGCAATGGTGGTAGGAGATGGGGGAGGAGATGGTACTAAATGTTACTTGAAATTCCTTTTGGCTCTAAATTTCTCTAATCTCAGACAACAAAGTGTTAGAGTGGATTAACTGAATTATCAGGTATAAACCATGAATATCAAGAGGAATGACCACCACCAACCTCCATGGCCCTGAATCTGGCTCTACTTAAGCCTCCTGCTCTTGTGTCTCTGGGGTTGGGGAATATATGGGCTGACTCATATTCTTCACTGGGAGACCTTGGGGCTGATCTGCAGGTTCAATCCTGGGGAGCTGGTTCAGCACTAACCATAACTTTTGGGAGAGACCCAAGGTCACTGTCAGCCTTTTGGGGTCCAACCACTGTCCCAAGAGACCTTTGGTCTAACATAGCTTAGTCCACTCTCCAGGAATAGGTGAGCAATGAGGTGGGGGCGGGGGGCTGGGTGAGTCATCTCTGGCCGGCTGGGAAGAGAGGCCCAGGGTTGGCTTGTGATAAGTGGCAGGAAGTGGGTCTTTGCTTTCTATTTATACTTTAAATAGTTTCCCTAAAAGAAACCTAAACTATCACTGATTGGTAGGGTTTAAAGAAACAGATGGGACCAAATTTTCCCCATCCTCCTACACCATCCCTGCCCTGCCAATCTCACCTTGCACTCTGAAGACCTAGCTTTTCCCGTCAAGAAAAGTAGAAATACCTCTGAACATTTTTGGGTGTTATGTGGTTGCATTTTGTTGGGAGATAATTTGTTGTTGACAGTTTTACTTCCTGGTTTCTTTGTGGGGCTTAGAGGAACACCAAAGCAATGGGAAAATGCATTTCTCCTGTAGAGCAGGGGCCCTCGTTGTGCAGGAGGCAATAAGCCAGCCCTGGGCTCAGATGAATGGAGCACAAGCATTTGGGGACAGAATGACAATTGTGCTGGATTTTCTTTGTGGGGGTTCTTCACATTTCCCCGTGTATAAGGGAGCAAAAACGATTACAACTCCCTCATGACATGCGGGGCTCAGAGCCACATTCTTTCACCTTCGGTTACCAACACCCTTCATTGTTCTCTGACTTATTTTGTGACCATTGGTCTTGTCTTCCCAATAGACCCAGTTTCTTGGGGACACAGCCCTTGTCTTAAATTTCTGTTCCCCTATGTGGAACACGAGCTGTAGTTGGTTAAAAATGCATTTTCTTCACTCTGGCGTCATGATGATTGAATAAATCCCAGGCAATTGTTTATTTTTATGGTCAAATGCTTGGTGGTGAATCCATACACAGTATGTAGTTGATTACAGACTATGTATAGAAATTACCAGGAGAGGATGAATCCCTTAAAGCCAGCTTTCTGCGCAGTGTTCACTGCAGTGTTGTTTACAATAGAAAAAAAAAAAGGCAGGGAGCACTTAAGTGTTCCTCAGTAGAGGAAGTTGGGTAAATTAGGGAACACCCATACATACAGGGAGATATAAGCAGCTATTTTAAGAATATGGTAGAGTCAAATGTTCATAAAAGATATACAAAAAAAGTTAGATGGTATGATGCAATTTAAGTAAACAAGAACAAAAGGGATGTATCCACACACATGATACACACATAGAAAAAAAATTGGAAGTATATACAAGAAGCCTCATCCTGGTTATTGCTGAGGAATGGACTGGAGTCAGGAGTGGGAGCTTTTATGTGTTACATTTTCTGTCAGTGGTTGAAATTTTTTATCATGACTGCATTATTTTATTTTTAAAAAAGTTAGAAAAACAAGCTATCTTTGGATGGCAATGAGAAAAGTTAACTCTACAAGTGCCCCTCCAGGGTGGTAGAGTGGGTCCAGGCAGAGGAGGGTGACGTGGGTGGGGATGAGGCGAGCTGAAGGAGTCGAAGGCACACATTTCCTTCACTGTGTGGTTCTTGGCTCTCTCTGATTGCGGTCTGCTGGCCAAACCAAACAACCTTCCAGCTCTATCCCAGGAGCTGGAGAAGGGACAGAGCATGAGAATGTTCTGAACCACAGCCGTCAGCGACTGAAGTGAGGACCTCTGGGACTTTCACCGACTGCGGCCACAGCTACCACCAACCCCACTCTGGAAGCCAGCCACGAACCCCCACGGCACTGAACAGCGAGGATCACATAGTTCAGGGCTTCGCAGTTTGGGGTGAATCAAGTTGCTGTCTCATTCAAAGATCCCCAATAGCTCACCATTGTATTAAGTCCAAATCTTATTATGAAATGACTTCGTGTATCAAGTTCAAATTTACCTTAGCTTAGCCTTCAGGGCTTTCTATGGTCAACCCTACACAACATTTTTAAATGTATTTGCTATGATTTCTCAGTACATATCAGCACAGATTCCAGCATTGCCTGGGTTCCCGTCCTAACTTTGCTTACCACTGTGTGACTTTGGACAAGTCACTTACCAGTAACCCTTCTGTGCCTCTGTTTCCTCATCTGGAAAATAACAGCATTCACATCATAGGGTTGACATAGGAATTACTGACTACATAAAGGGACATAGAAGTGTGCCTGGCACACAGTAGCTGCGACTTAAATGTTGCCTAAATCTATTTTGCTTTCCCACCCTCACTCATGCTTCTGGCTGGTTAGAATGCTTTTCTTGGCCAGTGCTGTCCTCTTTCAGAAGCTGTATCAGGCAGCATCCTACCATGAGAC